GTTGTTGGTCACATCATCATAATGCCAATAAAGATCTGTGTGATGCTTTTGAAAGAAAGATGTGGGTGAGGGTGCCATTGGTTGGATGGAAGCAGGGCAATATATGACTGTGATGATGAATCTTAATCTGCATGTTAAACTTGTGTACGCAGAAAATGAAAAAATGGGGAAAGGGGGTGGGGGTGGTAAAAGCACTGTTGTGACTACAATGTAAATCTTTGCGATCACGTTTGTGTATAAATGACGACGGTGGGTCATGGTAAGGTAGTACTATGTTACAGATACCACAAATTAAGAAACTGCAATTTTTTTTTTAATTCATAACTTTGGGTTTTGTAGATTTTTATCAGCTGGCCCACAGAATTGTACTTGGACGGGTCATTGCCATTTTTTTGTCAATATGTAGGTTTGGTAAGTTTTGGTACTACGCTCGCAACTGCATAAGGTCATAATATAACGTGCACGGGACTAAAGTTAGCTCTGTTTTCACATGAGTTCTCAAGACGGCTTGGCTTCCTTTTTTTGTAAAGTCGGAATGGTTGAAGTAAAAAATTCGCTGTAAAAATTCAAAGGCGGAAACTTCTCAACAATGTTAAAAAAAATTTTTTTTTTAAAAGAACCCAAGAAAAGAAAAATTACTTTGACTAAGGTTGCAGTATTTGTTTTTACATGATTGATGAGAAATTTCTTCACTTCTTCAGAGGCTCAAGAGTTCATTTTGACACTTTGCCCAGTAAAACATGTACCAAAACCTGGGGACTCCCTTCTAGAAAAATCCCATGGATGTTTATGCACAACCAATAGAATGACTCTGTAACAACTATTTAAAAAATTTTTAAAAGAAAGGACACTTCAACTTCAGTGACACAGTTATTCAAAATATACAACTAACAAGACAGAGGAAAAGTTCCCGAACCCTTTCATTGAACTCTGTAACAGTCTACTAGGATGATTACATCCTATTTCAAATCATACATTCGTATACACCCTTTAAAGAAAGCAAATGAACCAGTAAAATTTACACAAAAGTGACTTTTTTCCTTTTGCAAGTGATATTATCAGAAACTGATGTACAGAGAAGTGGGACGACACGGAATAAAATCAAGAAACTAGCCCAGGATGGAGAAAGGCGGAAAGTAGTGTTTGTCCATGGCCTATACCCTGGTGCAGGGTGGGAAGGGCAGTGATGAAATTAATTATGATATATCACTTTGTCATCCTGCTTTCAAATCCTGATCAAAATATAGTAATAATTTGCTCATATACTAAATTCTGTCGATTAAACCTGCTTCATTCTGTGTTGATAATTCACAAGCATGATTTATAAATATTAAGATATGAATGGTTCCATTGAAAAACACATTGCAGTCAAGTACACGCAGAGTGAACATGACCAAAGCGAAAAACGTACATAGCTTGCCAATTTTCAAGTCCCTAATTTTTTTCTTACATACATACATACAAAATTATTATTACTTAAAACAGGTACAAAGAGAAAGTCATAAATATAAAACAGATTTCAGCATCCCATCGATTTCGCTATATTGCATGTTTACATGTATTTATAAGTAAAATCTTGGTATTTGTGGAAAACCCCATCAACTCCAGAATCTTACGATATGATAGTTGTCATGTAAGTTTTACGGTAAATGGATAGAGTGCGATTTTAAAATTTGGCAGTAAGTAAATACAAAGATTTCATTACCTTGTTCAAAAGTAATTAATTCAGAGTGTTTGTGTAAAATACCCAAATTGCTTCAGCAATACAAAATATACACCAGCACATATTCACCTTCCATTCATTTTCTTTTTTTTTTTTTGTAAGAGTTTTACAGCACTTGCAACATAATAAGGTCATATAAACGCTAAAGATTAGAGGTGTTACAAGATATTAACTAACACAAAAAAGCAAAAAAAGAAGGAGGGGAGATCAAGACGATAGACGTTTGATAGGAAAGAAGAAGCAAACCACACCAGAGCAACCGCCAACTACCTACCCTTCCATTCAACAATGCAGAAGAAGTCAAACAAAATTTAATTAAAAAACCAAGTATGTTGTAGAGTTTGATGAGCCCCATCAGTTGGTGCTAGTCTCATTCCCTTTCTCTAAAACAGTCACGGCATTAAACATTGTGTAAATTAAGTAGTATAATATTAGTGAAGCGTGTTGACAAAATGAATTACTTCTCGGATTCAGGCCTTAAGAGAATATATACATCACGCTTACAGGTGAAGTTTTTACAAGTTATGTGTATGAAATAATAAAAGACAGGTTATAGTTAAAGAATATGGCATCAAAAGAAAATCTACAATTTTGACCCTAATTTCGATTTTTGGCCAATATCTTCATTTGTGGATTGCGAGAAGTAACTCTTTTTGTCAGCTCGCCTCACATTATGTCCTGCCTGAAACTGAAATCAAAACAGTTTTTTTTAGCTTCTGAAAATTCCGTATTTGAAATACAATGACGAATGACAGCGACAACATTCAGCGCCATATTCATAAAAAATGCCATCTGTAGGTCTGTAAATACATGTTTTTGTAGGAGGAGGTATACATGAGTAGAAAAATTCAAGTAAAAACGAAATATTAAAAACCTTATCATCAACCCTCTGTGCTACATTTTAGGTACACACCTATTGGCAAAAGCTCATAAATATATTTCGCTTTCTCTCTCTCCCTTTCTCTACTGCTCTCAGTCTCTCTCTACCAACACATGATCTACATAAAACAACAACTGTACAGACAAGTACAAGGTATATCCCATATATATATATATACATATATATATATATATATATAAATAAATATATATATATATATTATTCACAAAATAAAATATGAAAATGCGAGTGAACACAGCTTGTTTGGGTTTAAACTACAACATTCTAACTGAATTGCTGAAGGCAACAAAGATTCTCTAAACCACTCTGTATTTATCTTAAAGATAGACTGGTCAGTTGCTACACTCAAGAAATGTTTGGAGCTGGAAAAGTGTGTGTGTGCGTGTGTGTGTGTGTGTATGTGTATGTGTGTGTGTGTGTATGTGTGTGTGTGTGTGTGTGTATGTGTGTGTGTGCGTGTGTGTGTTGGGTATAACTTAAAGTATTTTTTGAATTAGTTATTTTTTCTGACTACCCAGAATCCAACTAGTCCCAGATAACGTAAGGGCTTAGAAAAATAGGGCATCACTTTTTTTTTTAAGTGGACAAAAAAAAAACAAGAGAATATTGAGAGCAGCCCACATCACTGTTTCTTCTCTTGTCTTACTGAAATGTTTTTACACGCATATAATACTCACAATTAAAGCCAGGATAAAAAATTTGTTCAACACTACGCGAAATGTAAAACATACAGAAAAAAAATAAATAAATAAATAAATAAATAAATAAATAAAGACAATAAATGGGAAGTGTGCTGACAAAATGAATTACTTCTCGGATTCAAGCCTTATGGATATTGATAAATCATGCTGATAGGCAAAGTTTTTACAATATAAAGTATGAAATAACAAAAGGCACGTTGGGGGGGGGGGGGGGCTCTCGTGGCCTTGAGATTAAGGTGTTCACCTCTCATTCAAAAGTCCCGGATTCAAATCTGGGTAGCAAAGGAACATTTTTCTACTCTAAGATTGTCTCCTTTCACCTCCTTTTCCGGTCCTCCAACAATGTTCCGTAGTCTGCTTTCATCTCCGCTTTCTGCACCCACCCCCTCACCTCATATGCCCCCTCCTCTGGGCTCCTGGCTCTTTCTGCCGCCCTTCTACTGCTACTCTTGGGCTCCTTATATAAATTGCTGTCTTTCAGTCACACACCCCGGATCTGCTGGTAGGAAAGATCTATACCTAGCCTTCTCGGACAAGGGCGAAAAATCTCGGAGGTCACGTTACAGATCCCTTGGTGGTCTTAAATCAATAAGAGTAGGCTTCGGCCTCCATCCGGGCAAAAGTCAAAATTTCCTACCAACTGAATATGTTTAATGTGTCCCGTGCGCTCATATGACCTTATGAAGTTGCGAGGGCCATAAAACGCTTACAAAAAAGGCATGTTAAAGAATATGGCATCAATAGGAAATCTATAAATGTGACCCTAGTGTCAATTTTTGGCCAATATCTCTGGTTGTGGATTGCGAGAAGTAACTCATTTTGTCAGCACGCCTCACAAAATTTATAATCTGGAATCCCAGATTTTCGTCTGGGAATTTGGCAGGCCTGGTTAAAGTGAGTCTGGTGCTGTAAACAAAACAATTCTGTACAATTGGTGGAGACCATTTATGATTCAGCGTCAAAACTTTTTACATTGGACGTGTCAGATAAAAGCCAAGCAAAATATCATATATATTTTTCATTGTGAATAATTTCCATACATTATTTTACTTTTAAAAATCCTTTGGCCATTTCATTTTACATTCAATTTTTTTTTGTTCTTTTAGGATAACAAAGAAAGATTTTTTTTATCAAAACACACTTTGTCATTACAAAATCGTATTTAAACTATTATTCTTTTCTTTTCAGTATCTTTTACATTAAAATATTTTTTTTAACAAATTAATTTCAGACAACTTTACACAGTTCTATACATTTTTGTACCATCTTAGACGTTGATTTTCTACAGAGCTTTTCCCCCCCGTAAGAAACACTTTTCTGTGAATGATCCCCCAAAACTGGACACATCAGTATATCAAACAAATTACAAGTTTTGGGGACAAACCAAGAGTTTCGTCCAGTCTTAAAAATCACAAATATATACACAAACATTATTTCTGATCAAAAGGTACTACTTCTAATAGACATGACAGCTCTTACTATTGCTTGCCAAAAGATTACTTATATGGTGAAGTCCGCCTGAAGTGAACACGCTTTATTTGAACAATCGGTTAAAGTGAACGATATTCTCTGGTCCCCAATTGAAAAGCTATTTATAATTTGCTAATTTTAAAAAATAGTAGATAAAATGAACTGGTTTCAGGGGGAAATCGGATACAGTGAACACCCAAAAAACGGAACGAGAGTCACTAAATAAAATTATTTGCCTCGGGCATCGGCAGACAATCCCAGCTCAGCGTTGGCGACGACAATCTTAATCAGAAAGAACGAGGTCTAGTCTAGGCTAGAAAACAAATCTATCTCTAAATTAGAGAAAATATTGATTCTGGGGTAATTTTAATACTAACAGCACTCTCACACTTGATGCACTATTATTAGAAAATCCCCCAAGTGTTTTAAACTCACATCACTTTTCGGTCCTTGTCAAAGCAGATACCATGCAATTTGATTTAGAGAAATGCCCATACGTGCACAAAAATCACATAGTAACAATAGGCTAATACTCCAAATTAAAAACAACATACAGCACCTCAAATAAAGTTGTTTTCCATGGTTATAAAGATTAAATTCTTGTAAAACGGAATAAAAAACTGAATAAGAAAATAAGTGCTGCACAAATCCTGAGAAAGAAATCGGAATGAAAATATTAAAATGTTGATTCTCATCAGGCACCAGTTCACAAGCACTCTCTTCAAACTATGAGAGCCTTTTATAAAAAAAACTTTCCTTACACATTCTTCCTCTGTGAAACATGTTTAACATGTCATGTACCTGCATCTTTTAAAAGGAAAGTATAATTTAGTTTTACATTTTATAACAAGTTAATAAGATATAATAATATTTTTATATAATTATTGTCTTCTGTACAGAGAGAAATCATAGATTTCTTTAAAATGACATGAACGTGCTCTATAGTGCAGTCAACAATTCGTGGCACAACTTAATTTCAAATATTTCCTCAACTATCGAGCCAGCTTTTGCACAATGACCTGTCAATTTGTCATAACAGATGAATATTTTTTTACACCTGTGTTAGCTGTATTCTAGAAAATTTCTTTAAAAATACTAAATTATAAATCCCAGTGCATGGTTTCTACAGATTTTAACAGTTAGGACAATATCCATTTTAAAAGCAAGTCCATCATTTTTTTTTCTTCCTACAGTGACATTATGCTTATTGAACGTTCACTTTGAGAAACTATTATAGTGCAAAAAAGATTTTATATTCATAGACACTAGATCTATACAAAATTAATTTCTTGTGAAAAGTATTGCCACTAAAAAAAGTGTCATTGGTGAGCTGTGACACATTTATTAATGTTTTGGCAATTAGGATTGATATTTATTTGAAAATAATTGATTTGCCAGGGATTTAGTGGCCATGTGTTCTGCAGTAAAAATTACAGTAGTTCAGCCCTCAAAACATCTGCGTGTGGGTTTCCTACAATACCTAAAAAATCATAGGCCAACATAATTTTAATAAAATAAACTCACTGATAAAATATCTCTTGATCTAGATCTAGAACTAATCTAAAGTAGTAGAGATCTAAAAAAGTCATTTTTAAAAATCATAGCATGTAGGCCTACCAAGTTTCGGTGCTTTTTCGGTAGTTCCCACCCCCCTTATTTGAGCCTGACCTACTTCTAGACCTAGAGTCTAGATCTATACCTTTGATTCGCAGTGAGCTAAGATATCAAACCTAACAACAGCAAAACATTAAATTGTGGTAAAACCCCCCTTCCTATTTTTGTTAGGTCAGGGAGGCAAGCCCCCCTGAAACCCCCCTACTCTTGGGGCCAAAACCCGTGAATAACAATTGCGGGGTGGGAACTACCGAAAAAGCGCCCAAGTTTCTTCAATAATTAGCACCAAATTTGAAATTAGAGACAATTTTCAAAAGGACTTCCTAACGAGCAACCACCCCAACGAACACCGAAAAGAAGAAAGCTAGTCCTAATCCTGACCATTCCCCTAACCCTAACCCAACCTCTACCGCCTTACCCTAGCCCTAACCTCAACCCTAACCCGTAACCCTAACAACCCTCAGCAGACTTTATTATTACTTTATTCTATCGGATCCGTTTATTCTAGAATCTATATACTCTTTTCTGATTTCATAGAGGTCGCTCGTTACCGAATTCCTGCCTTACTGACCTAAAACGGGTGTAGTATATGAACTTACCGGACATGACATGTCTGGGATTACTTGAGTCAACCTAACGTAAGTTTTCTGAGTTGGCCACTTCTCTTCAAAGCTTGTCCTGGTCACAATCCTCCCCTCACCCAGGTTTCGTAGTTGTCTACAAATTTCATACAGAGACTTTCCTTTGAAAAATGGGTCCCTGCCAATATAACGCACTGGCATTTTGATAATAGTGCAAAATGTTGCCTCTGAAGTTCAAAGTAGTAAAAGTGAAACGGGGAAGACGTTCAAAAGATTCTTAGAACACCAATGAATGTATTGAAGGTTATGGGTCCATCATGGGGGCTGCCATCTTTTATCCACTCTGACCTTAGAGTCGGGTAGTGTGACACACATCGATACCAATATTTTGGTTTTGTTGAAACCACTCTATGTTAAAACTGGGCGGTTTTCAATAAGAACTTGCGAATGCCTTCTTTCAAGAAACTGCACGCATGATATTATAGGACGAATCAATAATACAAGTTGGCCTGTATACCTATTACATTTTTCAGTCTAATATGAAAAAGGGAAGGTCTTAGTGAAAAAAATGTTCGTTTCCTAGGTAAAATCAAGAGGCATGGTATTTGATGATGGGTATTGACAACATTTGTTTTAGCCTTGTAAAAATAATAAAATGATAATCCTTCGGAGACTTTTCATTGTTTTCTTGTAGCGTTTTCGGTTGTCAGAATGCGATCCACTCTTGTGGTAAAACGAGAAAAGAAAGCTGCCTCTTTTCTTTTCTTTTTTTAAATGTTTATTCGCATTAAAATGTCAAAACGACTTTGAACATTGGCTCATTTGGTGAGTATCGATACCAATCAGCTGTACGGGAGGAAGTAGCTCTCCTACACACTGACGTAAAGAAGCTATTTAGATCTTTAAAAAACGTCATTAGCCTATCGGGAAATTCCGAAATGGTGTGTACAAAAAGGAAATAGCCCTAAAAAACAAAATCAACAAAAAGCAGTAGGCCTACATGTAGAATCTAGATGTAGAAGTAGAAGATCTACGCTGATGGTTAGCAAGACGGAGGAGTGACACTGTTAACATCCTCAACATCTTTAACAATTTCGGGGGGTTTTGTCCTTCAGAGGAGGCGTAAAAAGAAGAACAAGGGCAAAAGCAAGTTTTGGTTGTATAATTTGTTACTATATGTATTTCAAGGTAGAAATGATTCTTTGTTTTGTTTCGTTATGCGCGTCTCCAGCAGAACTCTAGTGTTAAGAGTTTGCAGAGTAGGCTAGTTCGGAATTTAGAACTGATCTAGATTCTAGGCAAAGAACTAGAGTTAATTGTAGTAGTTGCAATCGAATGGTTAAAAAAGCCAATGCCTCACTCCTAATCTTGTGCTCTCGGCCACTGCTGTTTGTTTTTTGGTGGTTTGGTGCGTGTGTGTGTGCGCGTGCGTGCGTCTCTGTGTGTGTGTGCGTGTGTGTGTGTGCGTGTGCGTGTGTGTATGCGTGTTGTGTGTGTGTGTGTGTTGTGCTGTGTTGTGTGTGTGTGTTTGTTTTTGTTTTTTTTAGGGTTTTTTATTTCTTTTTGCAGGGTACGGGGGAGGGTTCTTTTCGGTCACTCTCTCTCTCTCTCTCTCTCTCTCTCTCTCTCTCTCTCTCTCTCTCTCTCTCTCTCTCTCTCTCTCTCTCTCTCTCTCTCTCTCTCTCTCTGAGTGTGTGAGGGTGAGTGAGAGAGTGAGTGAGTGAGCGAGTGCATCATGTGCATGTACAAACAGAGGGCGTCGTTGGGAACTCGCGCACCCACAAAAAATAAACTCACAAATTTGCCTCTTTAGAAAAAAAATAATAATGAAACAGAATAAAAAGAACATATTCAAAAGCACCAATACGATGAATCACTCGTGAAATACAAGGGAGGAGTCAACCACCTTTCGACAAAAAAGAATAACAACAACAAAAAACAACAACAAAAACAATAATAGCTACTTCAACATAACAACAACAACAACAACAACAACAACACCAACAACAACAACAACAACAACAACATTTCAGAAGCAAATATCTGTACCTGGAACTTGATATACCCAAAGGCAACAACAAAAAAACCCATTAAAAAACATGATTTGATTTGAATAAATAAGTGAATTATCCGGTAGCGGTGGAAGTTGGGAGTTCTGAATAAGAAGTGAGGTATAACGAGAGAATATCACTCTTCCCCAGAAGCGTACACGGGATAATATTATCAATACAGTGCATACATTTTATACATATTTTTATTATTATTTTTATTTGTTTTAATTTTTTTGTTTTTTTGTTTTTTAAAGCTACTCTCGAGACTTGGAAACTTTGATGCAGTCTCTCTATTGATTATGTATGTTATGTACGAATGATATAAAGTAATGTTACGAATGCGCATATCATATTTATATCAAAATCGTTTTGAGATCTCAAATGTGTATGTCAGCTAACACATGAAGCCACAGGATCTGTATTAACAATAATAATAATATTATGTTATAAACCATAGACGGTGTAGGGCTCTTTTAATTAAAATTTGTTGGTACTTGAGAGTTGATCAAGGCTCTTTTTTTTTCTTTTATTTTTAAAGGAACTACACTGCTTAAGAATCTAAGGACATACGGCAGCTTTAATGAATACATGCATAGAGTATTCAGGTCAAAGGTTGAAAGAAAATGTTACTGTGTTTGTGTATGTGTGTGTGAGTGTGCGTGTATGTGTGTGTG